TGTTGTTATTGAGAATATATGTACCAGAACGTACACCAATTCCACAGTTTCTACAGGTACAACTCAGTGAGGTTGATTACATTTGAGTTGTGCAACCATTCTCACCTCCCTTAGAACTTTGAGATTTAACCCTTCTGACCCTCAGTTTTCTGATCTGTGAATAATGATACTAGTACTTAATTCAGGAGATCCTGGGGGTGATCCAATGAAAGGCTCAGGACACTGGCATGCTGTTGTTTTATGCCCCGAGTGGATTTAAACTCACAGTAACCCTACAGGAGAATAGAATTGTCCCATAGGGTTTCCTAGGCTGTAATCTTTACAGGAGCAGATTGCCAGGTCTTTTCTTCTGCAGAACAGCTGGTGGATCAGACCTTTTGGTTAGCAGCTGAGTCCTTAACTGTTGTGCCACCAGGGCACCTTCCTGTCTTTCAAAAACATACTCAATAAAAGAACTTTTATGAGAACCATCATGGCGAAGATGAAACTGCCAAGCCATCACCCAGAGAAGCAAAGTGGAGGGTCCTAGTTACAGGATTGCACAACAATTTTGGGAGCCCCTTGGCTTAGGAATGCTTTAGAATTTGTTCTAACCCTGCCTTTGCTTGCAATGTTTCCTTCCTCCGAGGTAGGAGCAGAGATGTGTTGGCCTGGGGCCCTGGGAAGGGTGCTTGATCTCATCCGGTTAGGTGCTTGGGTAACAAGGCAGTGAAAGTCTCTTTCTCATTTGGAAGCAGTCCCCAGCGGCTGTGACAGCTGGGGTTTTAAAAGGAGAAACTTGGACTTGAAACTTGGACTAGGCTAGGAAGGCATTCCTTTTGTGAGCCGGTGTAGTCTACCTGCTGTTCGGCAGATCCGCCTCCTCACTGGTAAGCAATACTTTTCCATCTGTATGTGTTGTTTTCCAAGAACTAAACTGACACTAATTGGCCATGCCAGAGGAACCATTACTGAACATTTATAGGCTTCTGACGGATTATTCCTTGTTGAATTTTTGGCAGCAGTTTCGGTTCATCTCACTTAATATTAAGCTCACCAAATCCAAAGGCTGCAGGTGGCCAGAATCGGAAGGAAGCTGAAAGAGCTTAGCAGCCTCTACCCGCCTTCCTTTCTCAAAGAATGGCCGCCATAGTTGGCCAGTAGGAAATGTCCATAGTGGTGTTTATTTCCACCCCCACCTACTCCCAATGTTAAATGATTTTTTAAAAAATTTATCGTGGTAAAATATATATAACACAGCATTTGCCATTTAAAAATATGCAACTCAGTGGCATTAATTACATTTACAATGTTGTGCAACCTTCAACCTCAATCTACTTCAAAAACTTTTCATCACCCACAACAGAAACTTAGTACCTGTTCTGGTTACCTAGTTACCGTTCTGACAAGAATATACCACAAATGGGATGACCTTAACAGGAGTTTATTCTAATAATTGGGAGGCTTTAAGTCCAAGTTCAAAGTGCCACACTCTAGGGATTGGGTGAAAGCCCCTCAACCTTGGGGTCCACCTCTGCCTCCTGCTCCCAGCCCACTGGCACTAGAGGCATTCTTCACTCAGACGGCTGCTGGCTGCTAAGGGAGAAGCCCCAAGGTTGACAAGTAAAAAGACACAGTCCCGATGTTACCAAACCACACGGCAGGCCATTAACTTAAGTCCATTGTAAATCCCAAGGTCGGCAGAGCATAGCAGGCTGCTGAGCAACAACACAGCTATATGCAGGGTCCAAGCATGCCTTAGGCAAGAGACCATTCCCAAGGCTTCTCCTTGTATACAGGAAGCAGACCACATCCCAAAGGCAGCTACTCAGCTGCTTGTGGTAGATCCCACCATGGAGCTGATTGCCAGTCTCATCATGGGGAATAACTACCACCAGCTGCCCAGCCACTCAACCAGGCCCAGCCAAGATGACACACAAACATAACTACCACAGTACCCATTAAATGATAACTCCCCATCTCCCCTTCCTCCAAGTCCCTGGTAACCTCTGCTCTACTTTCTGTTTCTATGAATTTGTCTAGTCTAGTTATTTCCTATCAGTAGGCTCATACACTGTTTGTCCTTTTGTGTGTGGCGACCCCCCCCCCTTTGACTTAGCATATCATTTTCAAGGTTCATCCATGTCATGGCATATATCAGAACTTCATTTTTTTCCTGTAATTTCCCACATCTTATTTATCCATTCATCTGTTGATATTGTTGTTGTTAGGTGCCATCACGTCGGCTCCAACTCATAGTGACTCCATGTACAACAAGAATGAAACACTGCCCAGTCCTGCCCATTGTTGCAGCCATGTGTCAATCTGTCTCGTTGAGGGCCTTCCCCTTTCTCGCTGGCCCTCCACTTTACCAAGCATGATAGCCTTCTCCAGGGAATGGTCCCTTCTGACAACATGACCAAAGTAGGTGAGATGAAGTCTGGCCATTTTCACTTCCAAGAAGCATTCTGGCTGCACTTCTTCCAGGACAGATTTGTTAGTTCTTCTGGCAGTCCATGGTACTTTCAGTATTCTTTGCCAACACCACAACTCAAAAGCATCAAATCTTCTGCAGTCTTCCTTATTCATTGTCCAGCTTTCATGTGCATGTGAGGTGGATGAAAATACCATGCCTGAGTTAGGCATACCTTAGTCTTCAAGGAGACACCTTTGCTCTTCATCACTTGAAAGAGGTCTTTTACAGCAGATTTGCCCAATGCAATATGTCGTCTGATTTCTTGATTGCTGCTTCCATTGGTGTTGACTGTGGAAACAAGTAATATGAAATCTTTGCCAATTTCAATCTTTTCTTCATTTATCATGATGCTGCTTATTGGTCCAGTTGTGAGGATTTTTTGTTTTCTTTATGTTGAAGTGTGATAGATGTGGGTTATTTTCACCTTTTGGCTGTAGTGAATAATGCTGTATTGAACATTGATGTACACATATCTGAGTCTCTGCTTTCAGTTCTTTTGGGTATTATTCCAAGGAGTAGAATTGCTGCGTCATATGTTAATTTGATATTTAGCTTCTTGAGTGTTAAAGGGATTTTTGAATGACTCACAAAATTGGTCTTTGTCAGAACAATGGACTTCCAGTCCAAATACATCCTGCTTGGTCTGTACTGTAAATTGATCAGTACAGATCAACCCGTCTCCTGCCCTGCCCTCATCTGTGCCCTAGCTCTGGGCTGTCATCCTTATATCATATGAAGAATTACATGACTAGGGATTACCATGCACTGGGAAGGCATTTCCTTCCATGTTTGTCCTCTGCAGGAGGTCCAGATTTTGACCATGTACCCAATTGTCTAAGAAATAATTTTTTTTTCTATAACAAAATTCCTTATCTATCATCAGCCACCATTCCATCAGGTAGTGAGGACTTAATATCAGTCAATTTGTGTTTTCTTCCCCAGAGTGGAGGTGTGGGGTTGGGGAAGGTTAACTTTGTGCCAAGGCATTGGGCATGGGGAGGTATCTGTATTGCCATCTCTACCAGCATTGCTAAGATGACCTTATCTCTACCTGATCTTTAGTCGCCTTTCCATGTAAGAGGTTGTTGGTCCCAGCCCTAGGCCAGGTTAGGTGGGTGCCAAACCCAAGTCTCCCCAGAATCTTGGGAGACATTCTATCCTCTAGGCTAAGAAAAAGTCACTTCCATGCTCCTGTCTGGAGCCTGGAGTCATTCTGCTGCCATTGTGCCACACTCTGCCTGAAGAGCTCTGCATGCCTGTCTCAAGGCCAACTGTCCTGACAAACCATGGAGATCCTTCTTCAGTTCTTGTCCCAGGTAGGGCATGGAGAATCTAAGGTTGCCCTTAAAGTTGTCCCTCCAGATCCTCAAACTTATCTGGGAGTTCTATCATTGTTTTTCCCAGGGTCTCAGCTCAGGGTGGGACAGCACACAGGGTCCTTTTAGGGGCTCCATGGTGCCAAGCCCCTCTCCTGTGAAGAAGACTTGTACACCAGGTAGTCGCTCACTCCTCCATCCTAGGAATTATCCTAAGGCTACAAGAATGGAAAATTTTGCCCTTATTCATCATGTGTTCTTATATATCTTTGGTCTTATGCCTAAGCTTTTGAAATTCAAAAGCCAAGATGATCTGGTTTCTTTCTTGTGTTTTCTGGCATCCTTTCTCTGAGACAATGAAGGTAAAAAGTCTATGTGCCCCCAAAGTACCCCCAGAAGCATATATGTATAATAGGAAGTGCCACATTCCAGACCATTATCCTACCGCACCTTCAAGTGCTTCAGCAAGACCCATTGGGCACTGAGATGAGGGTTGCTAAGGAGGATGCCTGGGGTGAGTTTAGGGGTTATGCATGGCTCTCTTGGCTATATTCTAAATACTTTTAGTGATTAGAACCTGAAATTCCGCTGAAATCCATTTTATATGAGGCATACGGTTTCCTAGAGCCCATGTGACCATTTCAATTCCATCTTCTAATCCTTTATGTGCTATGAGCCAAGTTCCCGTAGCGAGGGTTACTGCTCACATTCATTATTGTTATTTGTAAAATCAATGACTTAGGTTTTACATATCACCAGCGGGCTCTAAGTCAGGGTTGCAAAATGGGTTGTGCCTTGCATGCCAACCTGATCTGTGCTTCTTAGAGTGATGTGTTGAGAAGGATTCAGAGACATGTGGACTTAGTAGGAAAGGGTGCTGTAGTTGATTAGCAATGTCTGTCATGGGTGCAGAAAGGAGGAGTGGAAGCTAGCCCTGCACCCCTATCTGAGAGCTGCTCTCCTTCTAGAATTTAACCCAAGTAATTGTTGAGTTAACAGATGGGAGTGCTCCAGTGTTGACATCAGTGACCTTTAAGCATCAGTTCACCTAAGTGTCCCCCAGCAAGCCTATCAACCCACAGATTTCTTGCTCTATCCCCAAATAATTGGGATCCACCTCTGGTGGATCTCTGATGGGGAAGGTCCTCAAACCACATTTGAAGAAGCACCACTTCCTGTTGCTCTACAGTGAACCCCTTCCTGTTTGACATTCTTTCTTTACTTCCCAGGTAGATTTTGTGGCGATAAAGTCCCGGAGCCCCTCATCTCCACAGACAGCCGGCTCTGGGTCGAATTCCGCAGCAGCAGCAACATCTTGGGCAAGGGCTTCTTCGCTGTGTATGAAGGTTTGTTCACAGAGAGGGGCCACTCAGTAGCTTCTGAGATGCCGCTGTCCTTCACATGCACCCGCCGTTCCTCTCCACTGAAGGCATGTGTGGCAGCTTGCCAGAGCCACCAGGGTCCGCAGGCCATGCTGCAACACTGCAGAGGGCAAGCTGAAGATTCCAGCGCAGGCCTTTTCCCTCACAGTCTGGAAGTAGAGAGGCCAGCCATGCTCATTGCAGGATGGCCCTCATGTGCCTGTCACTGAGCCCTCCTTTCCGTTCAGATGGGGAGTCAGCTTCCCCTACACATGGGGGTGCCAGGAGGATAGACAGGTAGCAATGGCAGCAGCCTCTGAATCACTGTATGAGCCTGAGCAGACATCTCACCTCTCTGAGCCTCTATTTCATTTGTGCAAAGAGGACTTTGGATGACATCAGGGAGTTTCTGACTAGTTTCCCCAAGGCCACCTTGGTGGTTGCCTTGTGGAAACCAACAGAGCTGGGCTCTAGGGATCTGCCCACAAGGACAATCCCACCTCTATTTGTTCTACACATTGGGCTTCTCTGGCTAGCCATTCCCCTCCCCCATAAAAGGAAACCACTAGATGATTACTAAAGTGTCTTTTAACTTCAGATTGTTATAATTTTGGAGAGACCCAAGTTTTGTTTTTTATAAAAGAAATAATGTGTGTGTATGTGTGTGTGTGTGTGTGTGCATGTGTGTGTCCTTACCCGGGCTGCAAATTAGAATCAAATTAGAATCACCTGGGAGAGAAAACTGCTGCTGGGAGCTTACCCAAACCACTGGAATCAGATCTCTGGGGATGATCTTCCATAGGTTAAAAAATCTACCAGGTGATTTGATGCACAGTGAAGACAGAGCGTCACTTCACTAAGCAGTTATTTTCTTTATATGAAAAGATTCAGAGTTGAAAACAAGTGAAATTGTGCTTTTCTCGATGTGTAGCTTTGTTGGATGAAAATGAAAATGCTGGCAAGTGGAGCCACCTAGTGGTAGTAAATGGTCACCCTACTTCTTTCATATCGTCTGACCAGGGATACCTCTTCCTCCCTGTGCTCTCTCTTTCTTAAGCCACGTGTGGGGGAGACATTAACAAAGACGCTGGTCAGATTCAATCTCCCAACTACCCAGATGACTACAGACCTTCCAAGGAGTGTGTTTGGAGGATCATGGTCTCGGAGGGGTTTCACGTGGGGCTTACTTTCCAAGCCTTTGAGGTGAGTACTGCTCGGATTGTCTTCTCAAGGGATGAAGTTAATGTCCAATTTAGCTAGAAACTGTCTATTCTGTAAGGATGGGTTTTCATTTTTTAGTTAAAGACAGGAAACTAAGAGGACATGTTGTTGTTGTTGTTGTTTGCCGTCGAGTCGGCCCCGACTCATAGCGACCCCTCCTTGGGTTTCCAAGGCAGTATCACTACGGAAGTAGGATTGCCCAACCTTCCTTCCGACATGTTAGCCCCTGATAAACTGTACTCGGACAGCTAGGATTAATACTTTTGGAGGCGCTGAAATTGGGTCAGACTCTTTCTGAAGGCTGCTAGAGAGGGTGGATGGGATTAACTGAAGTGACAAGTTGAGGACTGTGTCCAAGAAAGTGTTGTGGAATTGTTCTTCCCTGCTTATTGTCTCACATTGGTGGTTCAGTGGTAGAGTGCTTGCCCTTCTGTGTGGGAGACTGAGGTGTAACTCCCGGCCACTACACATCATGTGCAGCCACCATCCATCAGTGGAGGTTTGCATGTTGCTATGATGCTGAACAGGTTTTAGCAGAGCGAGCTCTGTGGCATAGTGCCTAAGGCACTTGACTGCTAACTAGAAGGCTGGTGGTTCAAACCCACCAGCTACTCCTCAGAAGGAAGGTTGGGCAATCTACTTCTGTAGTGATACCACCTCGGAAACCCAAGGAGGGATCGCTATGAGTTGAGTCTGACTTGACGGCAAATAACAACAACAACAACCAGACTGAGATGGGCTAGGAAGAAAGACCTGATGATCTACTTCCAAACATCAGCCAAAGAAAACAACAGCCTGATTCTTTTGTGCATGGGGTTACCGTGAACAGGGACCCAACCCTTGTCATGAGTGGAGGGCCAACTCAGGGATGGCTGACAACCACAGATCTCTCCTTAACGTCTACAAGTAGGAGAACGCTTAGAGAAGCCCACACTTGAGTCCTTCTGCCTCTTGGTTAGATTTTAGACAGGGATGTTGAAGTTCCCTTCTTAAGTCAAAAACCTTCAACCCCCAGCCATCTGTACTCATCTATGTGCCTCTGTTTCTCCATCTAGATTGAAAGGCATGACAACTGTGCATATGACTATCTGGAAATCCGTGATGGTCCCACAGAAGAGAGTGCCCTGATTGGCCACTTCTGTGGCTATGAGAAACCGGAGGATGTGAAATCAAGTTCCAACAGAATGTGGATGAAGTTTGTGTCTGATGGCTCTATCAATAAAGCAGGCTTTGCTGCCAATTTTTTCAAGGGTATGAATTAGCATTTGGTTTCCATTTTTACTCACAGGAAGAGGTATTGTCCTCTGGGCTTAAGAGTCACAAAACACATGTGGAATCTTAGCATCAAACAAGATTTCCTGCAGGAAAGAGGCAGCGGCCAATTTTAGAGATGTGCATAGGGCCCCCAACAGAGGCCACAATGGACTGAGGAGCAGGCTTAGCCTTGCTTTGGCTTTTACATGACAGACAGTTCTGCCACTGTACTTGGAAATTAATTGAATAAATTTGTAAGGTCAAGCTATACTGTAGTGAAACTGAACATTGATAATAATTTTTGCATAGTAACTGCCATTAATTGAGTGCCTACTATGTGATAGGAACAGTACAAGGCACTTGACTTACATGATGTCATTTACTCCCCAAAATAAGTCTCTGAATTGTGTTTTGATCAAACCTGATCAGAGCTGAGAAGGCATTCATCATCCTCAGATCTGAGGTTAGGTATTAGTGTTCCTTTCCAGTGATCTAACTGGTAACCAGTTGGCACTGACCCGTCCACACCTCTTTCCTGGTTCTGCTGGTAACCAGCAATACACATTTTAGAGAGGATTCTCTAAGTCTGGGGATCAGGGTTACCAGATTTAGCAAATATAAAAAAATAAGAAACCCAGTTCAATTTAAATTTCAGATAAACAAATATTTCAGATATCTCAAATACTGCATACTTAAGAAATATTAGGTTGTGGTTTGTTTGTTTGTTTGTTTGTTTTAATCTGAAATTCAAGTTTTACTGGGTTTTCTATATTTTATATGGCACCCCTACTGGAAGGGCCCATCAGGGCAATGGAAAGAAATGCTTCTCTCTATGAAGCTTAACTGGCCAGTAAGGGACTGAGGTAAGAGTACCCATGAAAACCAGCCTTGTTTGAGGATTTAGAAGGTGCCATCTCCCTTCTTGGCATTTAACGCTGTGCTGTATTTTTGTGCTGTGCTATGGGCTGAGGATACTGGTGAAACGGCCCTTTGCCTCAGGATGGTGAAGGAGACCAGCAAGCCAAAGGCAGTGCCATGGTCCTGTGGACAAGTGGACCATGGAAAATGCCGTGGCCCCAGCTATGCCTGCAAGTGGGGCTCCTATTACCCGGTCTAGCTACTTCAAGGGCATTTCAATGTGCAGACGCCTTTTCAGACACCCATGACGGTGTTAATTGAGGCCCACCTGCACTGACTTAGTACACAGACGCAGCCTGACATTATGTTTATGTCCAGGAAGACCACGTTTAGAAAAGAAGACTTTTGCAACATTAACCTTGAACCCGAATCTTAAAGGAAGAGCCAAGACTATACAAAACCCATTGGGACCTATTAAAGGACAAAGAATAGACACTTACTGAATGCCCACCATTGGCCAGAAACTACGCAAGTTACCTCACTTTATCTTCAGAATGACTCCTTGATAGGCATTTTTATGACCCTCATTTTAAAATGAAAGAAATGAAATTCTAAAGTGGCAAATCTAGAAGTAGTGTGTGGCTCCACAGGATTCCACAGCACACTCTTTTTTTTCCTATGCCCCGTTTTTAGCTCCAAGACCCAAAAGTCACAAGGAAGAAAAGTAAAGGGGTTTGACTATTTCATTCATATTTGTGATTTCATTCTCACACTTGTCACTTCACTGCCTATTTTTGATACCACTGGGATATAGGAAAGGGCCCTGGATTTTGCGTCTGAGGTTCTGGGTTCTGGACCTGTCTGTGCTCCTTATTGGCTACACGTTCACGGGCAGGTCAGTTTTCCTTGCTCAGACTGGATCATACCCGTTTTGCCCTTCACTTTATTGCGGCTGGCACATAGTAGGCTCAATACTTATTGAACAATGGGCAAGTGGATGAACGAGGCTCAGCTGCTTCATTTCTAGATTGGGCATCATGACACCTGCTCTGCCTACCTTGCAGGGCTTCTAGGAGGATGGGTGAGGTGGGGGACCAGTCTAGAACATCACTATCCAACAGAAATAGAAGGAAAGCCACAAGTGTGAACCATACCTGCAATTCTAAATTTTCTAGTAGCCACTTTACAAAAGAAGAAAGAAACAGTGAAATTCATTTTAATATTTATTTTATGTAATCGCAAGTATCCAAAATGCTATCATTTAAACATGTGCTGCTATTGTTGTTGTTAGGTGCCTTTGCGTCAGCTCTGGCTCATAGCAACCCTATGTACCACAGAAAGAAACGCTGCCCAGTCCTGTGTTAGCATCATAATCCTTATTATACCTGAGCCCATCACTGCAGCCACTGTGTCAATCCACCTTGTTGAGGGCCTTCCCTTTTTTTACTGACCCTCTACCTTGCCAAGCATGACATCCTTCTCCAGGAAATGAAATGATCCCTTCTGACAACATGACCAAAGTAAGTGAGATGAAGTCTGGCCATTCTTGCTTCCCAGGAGCATTGTGGCTGCACTTTTTCCAGGACAGATTTGTTAGTTCTTCTGGCAGTCCACAGCACTTTCAGTGTTCTTCACCAACACCACAACTCAAAAGCATCAACTCTTCTTCGGTCTTCCTTATTCATTGTCCAACTTTCACATGCATATGAGTCTATACATGTCATGGGTTAGGTGCATCTCAGTCTTCAAAGAGATATCATTGCTTTTCAGCACTTTAAAAAGGTCTTTTGCAACAGATTTCCCCACTGCAATACGTCATCTGATTTCTTGACTGCTACTTTGATGGGTGTTGATTGTGGACCCAAGTAATATGAAATCTTTGACAACTTCAGTCTTTTCTCCATTTATCATGATGCTGTTCATCAGTCAAGTTGTGAGGACTTTTTTCTTTATGTTGAGGTGTAATCCATACTGTAGACTGCAGACTGGAGTCATTAATCTTTATCAGTAAGTGCTTCAAGTTATCTTCACTTTGAGCAAGCAAGGTTTTGTCATCTGCATATCACAGGTTGTCAGTATAAATATTAACGAGATATTTTGCATTCTTTTTTCCTTACTAAGTCTTGGAAATCCATTGTTTTACACTCAGAGCCCATATCAGTTTAGACTAGCTACATTTCAAGTGCTCAGTAGCTGCATGTAGCTGGTGACTGTCATATTGGACAGTGCAGGTCTAAAGACTGGGCAAAGCTAGCTTCCTTAGACAAGGCTTTTTCTGATGAGGTCACCACTAAGATTTCCCGTGAACACAAAGTGCTCAGAGTATGAGTCGCTATTTCTCCAGCAAAAGAAATTGGAAGAGTAATGACAAAGGTTACATAAAAGAGTTGGGCCAAGGCAAAGAACTCTTGCTTTGGTGCCACTGGCAGGAGACTTTGCCCAGGGCCCAGCCGGTGGATGACACTGACCAGGGTGCAGTTGGCCTCTCCATCCCTCTCCTGGTGCCACACAGCAGCTTAGCCAGCAGCAAGCGGAACACCTCGCATTCTGGTTGCTTTGGGTGATGGCAACAGCATTCCAGGGTTGGCAGTGCCATTTGGGTCTCACAATCCCCACATAGAAAATAGGAGAATCCCCACCTTGACCCCTGCATTCTACTGCCATGAGGTGTTTGGTGAGGAGAGTGGGCTTCCCACGAGTGTTTCTTCCAAAGCTTAGGGATATGTCCTGCCTTTTCTTTCCATAACTCTCTTTGAGACAACTTCTGGGATCCCTTTTGAGCTGTCTCATTGTCTGACCGGAGATTGGTTCGCTCTTTCACTAATACCACCTGGAGAATGGAAAGAACCCAGAACTTTCTGTCTATAAAGCTGAACTTTGGTTCCGACCTTTTCCTCCACCCCCAGGCTCTTACAGATTTTTCTCGGCAGCTTGGCCTTGGCCAATGTAGCCCAGAGCAAGCATGAGCTAGTTTGGAGTAGAGACTATTTCACCGCAGCATAGAGGCTTCCACTGAGAGAAGAGCCCTGCTACACTTGTATGCCGTCCACCCAAGTTGGAGCACATTTGAAAGTGGCCAAACATCCCACTGATCTTGCTGTAGAAGGAATACATTTCACCCATTTTCTCTTTGCTTTAGGCCCAAGGCCATCCCACTGGCCTTTCTCTCTTCCCATGTTACTGAGATGGCTCTAAGAGACATGTTCATCTGGGGTCCTGCCTATAGCCACAGCATCCTCCAGCATTAGACCCACTCTATCTTGGTCTTTTGTTTATGTTGGTCTATTCTGATGAGCTCTTTCCTAACTTTCCTTTTGTCTTCTCCCTCCACGTTCACCAGCCAGGTTTCTAGAATCTTCTGCACTGCTCTCTTGCCCATCTAGTCCTCCTTCCTTGACCCATCCTTGATGCAGTCTCCTTTCTGTTCCTGCTTTGTCTCCTTCCCTACTCAGGCCTGCACTGCTCCTCTCTCATCTGATTCAGGTGTACCCAGGCAAACCTTATCCTTTTCATGCCTCCATTATTGTGTCACTATGTTGTTGTTGTTGTTAAGTGCCGTCGAGTCGTTTCCGACTCACAGCGACCCCATGCACAGCAGAACGAAACACTGCCCTATCCCGCGCCAGCCCCACAATCCCTGCTATACTTGAGCCCATCATTGCAGCCACTGTGTCAGTCCATCTCGTTGAAGGCCTCCCCCTCTTTAGTCGACTACACCCCTTGGAATTTCTAAATCAGTTCCACTCTTTTCTACAGACATAACTGTATCAATCATCTACATACGGGGCACTTCACATGCATCATCTTAAATCTGACCACGGTCCTAAAAGCAGGTATTTTTATTCTCATTTTAAAGCAGGAGATGCACTCAGAGAGGTTAAATTACCAGACTGACGTCACCTAGGTTTTTGGTAGAAGACATGGGGTTGAACCTAAGTCTGCCTGACTCACTCTAAAGACTGGACTCTTTCATTATTCTTTATGGCCTATTCTCCTCTTCCTACATTTTCAAGCAAATATCTAAGAAGTGCTTTTCATATGTAAACATTATGTTGCACGATTGCCACCATTGAAGCATATTTAATATTTGCGTTTGTTTGAGGCTGAAGACAATTCCAATGCCCTGCTTAAACCATCTCCCTTAAACTCAGTCTTCCCTCCTGACCAACTTATTTAAGTTGTTGAGCCCAGGAACACATCATTCTTAGTTACCAAAGTTTACTCTCACTACGTAAAATGATGGGATGCTTAAAAAACCATCTTTGATCCGGAAGAAAGCGACCAGGTTGATGAGGATTCTGTGCTTCCCAGACAAGGAAGATTGGAAGGAAGTGGATGTATTTGAGGTAGAAGAGTACAGAGTTGAGGGGGAGTTGGTGACCGAAGGGTTTGCATTCTCTGTGTGGGTCTACATTACAGAGCTAAGATTGGTGGATTGGAAATGGCAAGGAGTCAGATTTTCTACCCAAAAAACACCTTTGAAAAGTAGTGAGAGTCCTCCCATTTCTGGAAGTGTTCAAACAGGGTCTGAAAAGCCATCTGCCGGGAATGTCGTTAAAGAATCCCCGCCTGAAGGGCAGGCTGAAGTGGCTCCATAGCTTTTCAGGTCTTGCCAATGCTAAGATACTCCAATTCCTTTCAGCTTATGTGTAATGAGATCTTTCAAGATTTGGGGCACAACTTCCATATTTGTCTTAATCCTGCCTCCCATGGTGTTCAGAGCCCAGCCCTACTACAGCCTTCTTCTTCCTAGATTGGAGATTTTTGGGGACAAGGCCTCAGTGTTCAGTTGTCCCTTCACTGGGCTCCTCCAGCTCTGTTAGGTCATAGCCTGCATGATCTATTTCACCAACACGTGTACCATGGTTGGCAATGGAGAATGTGATATTTCTCTTTTTATCTCTCATGCTTTTCTTAGAGATGCCCCAGGCTTCAGCTTTTCTTTTCTTCAGTGGTACATGGGCTGATGTATCTGGGGAGACTCTTCAATGACTCCTCTGTTTCTCTTCTGGACAGCACTATGACCACCCACTTGTCATTATTTAGTTGCTTCAAACACATTACTGAACACTTACCAGTGCTGAATTCCCTGCAGACCCACCACCAACTCAGCCACCTATGGCCTCTTCCTGAAGTTTATTCTGGGAGCATTCACTAACCTAAGACCCCATGTTCTCTCTGACCTTGACCATTTCCTTGTGCACACCTCTTCAAATTATTTATAAAAATGCTAAGTAATCGGTTCCAGCTCTAATCTCTAGAGAATACTTATACATCCTCATTCAGAAATGTGTCCTTTTGTCCTAATCTTTTATTTATTGTCTCTAAGCAGTTCCATATTTGTGGGGGGTGGGGCAGAATTTCCCCAATGGCATGGCATTAAAATGGATTAAGTGTTTGGTACGGAGCCTTGTGAGATTTTTTGAAATCGCAAATGAATACTGCTGACTGAACACATCCCAGAATTGAATTATCCAAGTATGAGCTCCTCTCAAGGAGCTCTGCTTTTGGGTAACAAGTTCCTCTTGCTGGTCTCACCCAGGTTCCCTCCTTTATGAAAACTTACTAGAGTTGCTGCTTGTTTTTCATTGTCTTAGTTTGCTAGATCTGCCATAACAGAGATATCACAAGTGGGTAGCTTGAAAGAACAGGAACTCATTTTCTTGAAATTCTGGAAGATATTAGTTTAAATCAGAGTCTTGGCTGTGTTAATTCCTTCTATGGGCCTCTCTCCTAGTTTCAGGTACCTACTGGCAGTCCTTGGTGTTCCTTTGCTCACAGATAGGTCCTCACCTGGCATCTATATTCCTTTGTGTGTGTCTCTGTGTCTGTTTTCCTCTTTTAATAACTCAGAAGTGAGTGATTAGGGTTAGGACACACTTGGCTCTGACACAACTTCATTAAACTTAAAAAAAAAAAGGAAAACTCCTGTTTCCAAACAGGATCAAATCCACAGGTACAGGGGCCAGGACTTCAATATATATTTTGAGGGCAACATGTAATCCATAACAGTGTGGACATGCACCTCACTTTTCTGGTTACTTCTGGAGATGACAGTAGCATCCCAGGGTTAGCAAATGATCACTAGAAACCACTCTTGTTCTCAGCAGACCCTTGCTTTTATTCCATTTTCCTCTAAGCTGGGGGCTTGGGACATGGAAGGGGATGGGGAATAAGACCAGGCAGCTTTGTGATGATCTAATCAGGATCACCTTCCTTCACCAACAGAAGTGGATGAGTGCTCGTGGCCAGACCGTGGTGGGTGTGAGCAGCGCTGTGTGAACACGCTGGGCAGCTACAAGTGCACGTGTGAGCCGGGCTATGAATTGGGTGCAGATAAGAAGGCCTGTGAAGGTGGGTGTTGCACCTGTCCTCTGGGGGGACAAATCTTGGGGCTCGGTGGAGCTGAGATGGGGCAGCTGGTTGACTGTGAAGTAGTAACACACAGACATAATGGAAGATTCTCCTACTTCCCAGAGAGGGCAATACCTTTACAAGCAGTAACCAGTTGCCATAAAGTCAGCTCTGACTCATGGCAACCCCATCTGTGCCAGAGAAGAACTGTGCTCCACAGGATTTTCAATGGCTGATGTTTCAAAACTAAATCACCAGGTGTTTCTTTCGAGGTGCCTCTGGGTAAACTCGATTCACCATCATTCTGTTAGCAGCTGAGCAAATCAACCCTTTTGTTAAAACTGCAGACTATGCCTTAGAAATGTGAAACTGGACCAGGTTCCCAGTGAATGATTTCTATGCATATTGTTCAAGGACATTGGTTACATTTTTCACAATATGTCAACATTATTTCTGTTCTGGTTGTTCAGTTTCCATTAATCTAGCTTCCCTGCCTACCCCCCTTACCTTCTTATCTTTATTTAGGGTAAATGCTGACCATTTGGTCTCACATAGTTGATTTTTCTTTAAGAGTATAGTACTTACAATGATGTTATTTATTTTACGAGCTAATCTGTTATTTAACTGAAAGGTGACCTCTGGGAGTTGTTTTGGTTCCAGGTTTAAAGGGTGTCTCAGGGCAGTCTCGGGGTTCCTCTGGTTCCTATTGGTCCAGTAAGTCTGGAATTTTTTAAGAATTTGAGTTTTGTTCTACATTTTTTTCCTATTCTATCTGGGAGTATCTATAGTGTCCCTAATCAGAATGGTTGGTGGTGGTAGCTGGGCACCATCTAGTTCTTCTGGTCTCAGGATAGATAAGGCCATTGTGCATATGGGCTATTAGTCCTATAGGATAGTTTCTTCTTTGAATTCAGATGAGTTTTAAGATTGAAAAGAAAAACAAATAAAAACTACAAGCACATTTGGAGTGACTTGCTGACAGCAGACTTCAGTCATTCCATTTTGACCTGGTTGGTGTGCTGTCTTCCTTGCCTATCTGCATGAATCTGCTTATTCATGTAAACTAGGTATATGGCATAGCTTGGTACAAACATTTCTAACTCTCCTTTGGTCCAAGTTATGTGGGGTCCCCAACTATGCCCTGGAATGACACGTAAGCTCAACTGCATCATCATCATTTGCAAAACTAGGTAAAATTTGTCCCCAACGTCATTCCCCCACAATCCTCAGTTGAAACAATTAGACTAGAAAAAAGAACATGGAATTAATCAGTTAAGATTGTCGAACTTTATTTTTAAAAACTTACTAAAGAACAGCAGGGCATAATGGTGCTTGGGGGGAATTGCAGTCACTTGGAACTAAAACCAAATGAATCTTGTTTCTGTTTCCCCATGCAGTGGCCTGTGGCGGTTTCATTACCAAGCTGAATGGCACCATCACCAGCCCTGGGTGGCCGAAGGAGTACCCCACAAACAAAAACTGTGTCTGGCAGGTGGTAGCCCCCGTTCAGTACCGGATCTCCCTGCAGTTTGAAGTATTTGAGCTGGAAGGCAATGATGTAGGTTTCTTCGCTCTAATTCTTTGGGGATTGTGTTGAGATGGGGAGAAACAGATGGGGAAGCAAGGGGGTACTGAGAGCTGACTTGAATGCCAATGACTACAATGCATAGAGACCCCAATGTCAGTGAGAGGCTCACCTTAAAATGAATATTGCATGGAGAGACCAAACTCTTGAAAGCAACTGATCAGAGCACTGAGCAGTCAGGTTCATTTTGAGAAAAATCATTACTGCAGCAGGCAACATCAGTACTAGTTTTGGCTCCACCATTGCTGTGTGACTTTGGATGAGTATCTTTCCCTTTTTGAACTTCAGTGTCTCTGTATGAAAGTATGACAGAGTTGGACTGTATCAGTGGTCTGCAAACCTCTCCTTCCCTCCCAACACCCCTCTTCTTTTCCTTTTTCTAGCAATGGGGCCCCTTTCTTCAGATGAAATCTCATGTGGAAAACCAACAGAAAGATAAATAAAAGCAAGGCTGTAGAATTAGGGGAATGTGGGTTTTGGAGAAGGTCTCTGGATAGTGCAAACGGTTTTCTCTCAACTACTAACCCAAAGGTTGGCAGTTTGAACCTGCTCAGTGACTTGGAGGAAGAACAGCCTGATATGCTTCTGTACAGCAGCCAAGACAACCCTTTGGAACCCTTCTACTCTGTACCACAAAGGGTTGCCATAAGTTGGAACTGACTCAGTGATGGCATCAGGTTTGGGTTTCGGAGCCTTGCCCACTTACGCCAGCTGAGGCATTTCCCACAAAGCCACAACTGGACTCTGCAGCTCCTGGAACTCATTCCAGTGACAGCTCAGTAAGGGGCAAGGTGACCCTCCCCAGGATTGCCTGAACCCACCTGACAGGGCTCAGCTCCCAGGAGGGATGCTACGACACAAGGTGTTGGGGGGGGCGGCTGTCTGGGGAGAGCTGTGAAGCACCAGGTCCTTATCCACCTCGCTCCCTTGCAGGTCTGTAAGTATGACTTTGTGGAGGTGCGCAGTGGCCTGTCCCCCGATGCCAGGCTGCATGGCAAGTTCTGTGGCTCCGAGACGCCCGAGGTCATTACATCGCAGAGCAACAATATGCGTGTGGAGTTCAAGTCGGACAACACGGTTTCCAAACGTGGCTTCAGGGCCCACTTTTTCTCAGGTACGCAGGTTTGGAGGTGAGGCCACAGCACTGAGGGACAAATGACTTGACAGGGCCCCAACCTTGGGGTACCTGTTAGCTCCTCTCTGCCCACCTCCTCCACCCACACAATATTTCCACCCTGTTTGGATCTGGAGTTTTTTATATGGGTGGCTATACTAGTTTGTGTGGCAGTTGTAATAAATTGGGTGGCTTTGAATAAGAGAAATGTATCCTCTCACACTTCTGGAGGCTAGAAGTCCAAAGTCAGGGTGTCGCCATGGCCATGCTCCCCATGAAGGCTTAGGGATGAAGCCGGCCTTCCTCCTCCAGCTTCTGGGGCTCATGCCAATCCTTCACATTGCTTGGCTTCTAGCTACATCTCTGTCTCTGTCTGCAGGTAGCTGTCATCTCCATGTCCTCCATGTCCTCTCTTGTTCTTATAAAGACACCTGTCATTGGATTTAGAGCCCAGCCTAAATCCAGGCCTCTGAGTCACACAAACTGTTTGCTCACTGAGTGACCTCAGACTTCTTAGCTGCTCCCAGCCTCAGTTTCCTCCTTACCTGTAGCATGGGATGCACGTGCCAACTTCTAGGGTTATGTGAGAATTAACTTAGACACGTATAAAAAGTGCTTGGGGCAGTGCCCAGCCCACAGTAAATACCCAATAAATGGTAGTTATTTTTATTATTGTGACTATTATTATTATTGGGAGCTCTGGTGGCATAGTGCCTAAGGCATTTGACTGCTAACCAGAAGGCTGGTGGTTCAAACCCACCAACCAATCCTCGGAAGGAAGGTTGGGCAATCTACTTCAGTAGAGATACCGCGTCAGAAACCCAAGGAGGGGTAACTCCTTGGGAGTTGGATCCGACTAGATGGCAGTGCATGTTGCATTTTTGTCTTTCAAGGAGCTCCTTATTTGGTGAGGAGACGGGCAAGAGAACATATATAAATTTAAATGCTTTAGGACATGGAATTCAACACATACCAGGGCTGAGTTGTTGTTGTTGTTGTTGTTATGTGCCGTCGAGTCAGCCCCGACTCATAGCG